GCACCACAATACTAAAATACCTTTTTGAGGCTGTGACAATCATTTTTCCCATAAAGAAATGTGTGTTTTTAACAGAATACGTAAAGTTCACTGACTGTGTAGTTTTGCCCTGGGTTTGAGACAATGAATGAATTGGTAAACGCGCGCATCGCCGGATGTAAATTGCCGACTTCCACTGAAATAATATTTTTTCTTTTCTTTAATTCATGAGCCATATAATAAACAAATTAATAACCTCGACCATTCGGTCGTTACAGGATAATCTCAAACCTCGGCCTACCGTATTGACCTCACTATTGCTCGGTCAATACGGCAAGGCCTCAGTTTGAGATTTTCCCGTAACAACCTCACTCTCGGCTATTAAGTAGTTAATGGTGCTCAATGCTCTATATTTATAATTATAATAAGTCAAGTTATTCTTGCATTTTTGATTTATTTGGTTCATGTAATCAATTGGAGGACAGACTGATGATGTCATTAACTTTATTTTCATGTTTTTGTTTCTTTATTTTATAAAAGAGACAGATCACATGGTGCTGTGCATCTGTTCAGTGATAGATCGAAGAATAAATAATTATATAAATGTGATAATATCACAGGTGGCACAATTAAGGTCGCAAATGAGCGTCCCTTGTAGCTCTCAGGTTACACAACAGTCGCAATATGAGGATTTGTGTGGGGAAAAATGGTTACCAGTATATTTGTACTTGGCTTAATGTCCCTGTTCTGTGAGAGTTCACTTTTGCGTGTTATTATAGCCCATTATTATTATAGCTCGTGTATCTTCAGCAAATAGAGAAAACCACAATGTAATTCGGCCTAAGGTGGGGTGACACAATCCTGCAAGAGTATTGGCAAGTGGAATTTGAATGCGTGATCTTGAAAGCCTTACTTATTTCCCTGGCGCTGAGGAAGCCAGTGCTGAATCAGACAATACTATTGGCAGATGCACATTAAGAATGAAAGGGGCAAAACACTGCCCAAAGCTTGGAGAAAGTCCCTACCCAAAGACTGGAGGTGTTTCCCAGGTTTATCGACAAACAAAGTCCTCCACAATGGG